TCGACTTTTCGAATCATTTGCATTCGAATGATTTATTCAAATAATCGAATATTCCAATTCGGTCTGAAGTATACCGGATTACTGTAACGCTGGGCACCCCCGCGATTCATCCCATAAGCTACATGTAGGGACGCTAGCGAGCAGTCGCTGGGTTTCCAGTAGGGTCAAAGAGGACTTTGTAAGAATTTGCCGAGTAAACTGGGACTTTGTTTGAAAAATCTCGGAACCGACTCGTCCGGGTCCTATGCAGCTCTCATATCAGGTGTTAAACATGATTCGAGAAGCTGTCAGCCACATTCACGTAAGATCCTGTTGTTGATAGTTGACTCCTTTGTTGCAGAGTTTGAAAAACGTGAGCCCACCCTATTTTCCGCAATGGTTGGCAACCTTAGTGCCGAGACGTCTGAGTCTTTGCAAGATCTTGTCAAGGTGCTTTGTTTCGTTCGTTGTTGTAAGTTACAAGATATGTTCCTTTGTAGGTCTGCGAACAGCATGTGAGATCTGAAGAGTCGAAGCGGGTAGAACAAGCTGGTGGATACAACTTCGACGCTGCCGCGGCTGTACCAGCGAGTTTCAATTTCACCAACTGAAAGCTTGGACTTCAATCCGACTACTATTCAATACTGATTTTGGAGACGTTAATTGTTGATTGTCTTGCGACTTTTCCACTACATGCTTGCAGTTAACGGATATCGGTTACGGGATATCAGTTTGAAGTGTCGGGTCGGTAGGTTACAGATTGTTCATGCTTTGTTCTGCGCATTTTTTTTATTGATGACGTTTGACCTCGATTACACAATGCTTTGACTTGCTGTGATCTGGCAGCGCCTTCTTTGTGTTTATGTTGTATATCCTAATTGCCTGCTATCACGTTGTTTCGTATGTCGTTATGGTCGCCTCCTTACTTTGCTTCACGAACGCGCACTTTTGCTCAACATTTAGTGCTTTGTGTCCTCCAGTATTTGTCTAAATGCGCAGTAGTAATTCGCCTACGTGTTTGAAAGATAATATACTTTCTTC